CCTGAGGACAGGAGTTCAAGACCAGCCCAGCCAACCTGGTGAAACACCAGCTCTACTAAAAACACAAAAACTAGCCAGGTCTGGTGGCGCATGCTTATGGTCCTAGCTACTCTCGAGGCTGAGGCAGGAAAAGCGCTTCAACCCCAGAGGCTGCAGTGAGCCGAGATCGTACCACTGCATTCCAGCTTGGGTGATACAGCAAGACTGTCTCAAAAAAAAAAAAAAAAAAAAAAAAAAAGATACAACCTACCAAAACACAAAACTGTAACAAGGAAGAAACACATAACCTGAATATTTATATACAAAGTTAAAGAAACTGAATTTGTAATGAAAACCCTTCCCACAAAGAAAACTCTAGCACCAGATACAGGGAACTTCCTCAATCTAACAAATGGCAAAACAAAAATACAAGGGAACTTCCTTAACCTGACAAAACGCATCAACCAAAAAAACACTTACTGATGAAAGGTAGCTTTTACCCAGTATTAGGAGTAAGGTAAGTATGCCTACTCACCATTCCTAATTAACAACATCCTGAAAGTTCAAGCTAGTGCAAGAAGGCAAGAAAAAGAAATAAAGAGCATTCAAAAGGAGGGAAAAAACTGCCTCTATACACAGATGACATGACTGCCTACACATAGGAAAACACCAAGGAATCTATACAAGAAAGTTCCTACAACTAGTAATTTTAAGACTGCAAGGTTGCTATTAAAAAACAAACAAACAAACTGCATTTCTACACAGTAACAGGGAACAATCAAATATTGAAGTAAAAAAAAAAAAAACTATTTACAATAGCACCAAGAAACATGACATATTTAACTATAAACCTAACAAAATGTGTGCAGGATCTATTTGCCAAAAACTACAATACATTAAAGAAATAAAACAATGAGGAGATAACATTATATTCAGAGTTTGGAATATTCAATATTGTTAAAATGTTAATTCTCTCCCATGATTTGTAGATTCAAATGCAATCCCAATAAATCCCAGCAGGTTTTATTTTCTTTGATGGAAGGAAGATAAAAGTTGACAAAATTATTCTAAAATTTATACAGAAAGGCAAAGGAGCTAGAATAGCCAAAATAATTTTTTAAAGTATTTGAAGGATTTGCCCTACCTGATTTCCACATTTAATATAAAGCTACAGTAATAGATACAGAAGTAGGTGGTAAAAAAGGCAGACACACAGATCAACGGACCAGACAAGGGAGTCCAGAAATACATGGTCAATTTATTTTTGACAAAGGGAGAGAGGCAACTAAACGGCCAAAATGTAACCTTTCAAACAAAATGCTTCTTCAAAATAAATACTGGACATCTATATGAACAAAAAAAACCTCTCTGCCCGTATCTCATGGCACAAACAGAATTAATAGAAATAAAACTTTTAAAGGAAAACAGAGGAAAAACTTTTTGATTTTGGGTTTGGCAAAGATTTCTGAGATACAAAACCAAAAGCATGACTGATAAAAGCAAAAATTAACAAACTGGACTTTATCAAAAATTTTTCTATCTTTCCTTTTGAGACGGAGTCTTACTCTGTCACCCAGGCTGAAGTGCAGTGGCATGATCTCAGGTCACTGCAACCTCTGCCTCCTGGGATCAAGTGATTCTCCTGTCTCAGCCTCCCGAGTACCTGGGACTATAGGCACATGCCAACATTCCTAGCTAATTTTTGTATTTTTAGTAGAGATGGGCTTTCACCATGTTGGCCAGGCTGGTCTCAAATTCCTGGCCTCAAGTGATTCGCCTGACTTGGCCTCCCAAAGTGCTGGGATTACAGGCGTGAGCCCCTATACCTGGCCAGAGCTTTATCAAAACTTAAAGCATGTACTGCAAAAGATACTGTCATTAAGAGAAAGAAAAGGCAAATCACAGAATGGGAAAAAAATATTTACAAAATAATACCTGATAAAGAACCTGTATCCTGAATACGTAAATAAATAAATAAATGAATAAATCAAAAACCAAAAAAAAACCTCTCAAAACTCAGTAACTTCTGTGTACCAAAAAGAACAATCACAGAGTAAAAAGGCAATCCATGGAAAGGAAAAAAATATTTACAAATCAAATATTTAATAACTGGTTAATATCCAAAATATATAAAGACTACTGCAACTCAACAACTAAAAAACAAGCAACATAGGGCTTAAAAATGGGCAACAGACTGGAATACGTGAAGTCTATGTTGTATTTTGCCACAAGGTTATAAAACCTCAATAAGAAAAGCCCAATTAAAAATGGGCAAAAGATTTGAACACATTTTACCAAAGATATATGGGTAACAAATGAGCACATCAAGAGATCATGAGTCTTTAGAGATAAGCAGACTAAAACCACATGTGATACCACTAGGTACACATTGAATGGCAGTTTGTCTTGCTCTGTTGCCCAGGATGGAGTGCAATGGCGCAACCTCGGCTCATTGCAACCTCTGTCTCCTGGGTTCAAGCAATTCTCCTGCCTCAGCCTCCCAAGTAGCTGGGACTACAGGCGCGGGCCATCACGTCTGGCTAATTTTTGTATTTTTAGTAGAGATGAGGTTTCACCATATTGGCCAGGCTGGTCTCGAACTCCTGGCCTCAGGTAACCCACCAGCCTCTGCCTCCCAAATTGCTGGGATTACAGGCGTGAGCCACCGTGCGCAGCCTTTTTTTTCTTTTCAAATCTCACAATACGGATTGAGTATCCTTTACCTGAAATGCTTGGGACCAGAAGTGTTTCAGATTTCAAATGTTTTGAATTTGGGAATACTTGCATTACACTTACCAGTTTGGCATTCATAATCTGAAAATCCAAAATTCAGAATGTTCCAATGAGCATTTCCTTTAAACATGACGTCATCACCAAAAAGTTGTGAATTTTGCATTTTAGATTTCAGATTTGGGATGCTCAACCCGTATGAAGTGCTGATGAGGACACAGAACAACTGGAGCTCTTATACACTGCCAGTGGCAGTGTTAGATGGTATAGAGAATTTGACCATTTCTTTAAAACTTACTACCATGGGACCCACAGCCAAGTCTTTTCCTAAGTATTTACCCAAAAGAAATAAAAAGTTATGTTCATACAAAAATCTGTACACTAAAGGAGGTTTGTTCATAATCAATGGAAACTGTAAAACCCAAATATACCACAGCTGGAGAATGGACACACAATTATACATTCATACAATGAAATGCTACTCTGCAATAAGAGAAACTACTGATAGAGTAACATCATGGAGAAATCCCAAATACATTAGGCTACGTGTAAGAAGTCAGTCTCAAAAGGCTACATGTTATATGAGTCCATTTATATGACATTCTAGAAAAGGCAAAAAAGTACAAAAAGAAACCATATCATTGGTTAAGTGGAGGTGAGGGGACAGGGATGATTAAAAATAGGTGTAAGGGAAAGTTTTTGTATTGAAGTTGTCTTGTATTTTAATTGTGGTGGTTACATGACTGTGTATGCTTGTCAAAACTCAGAACTGTACACTAAGGGTCAATTTTACTATATGTAAATTATACCAATAAAAACAATGAAAGTCTTAATAAAAACAAATGTAATGTGATAAAAATAATAGCAAATCATTGACATCACCACCAGTCATAAGGTAAGAAGTTATTTTATATGTTTAATCATATGTATCTGATTTAAATATGCTGCCTATCAATACATTTCAAACAAAGGGAGGCCATATTGCAGGTTTATGAAAGTTAAGGTTAGTATTATTTAATGATTTTCTTCACCATTTAATAATGAAACATTACAAAGTTGACTATAAAGTTTTTTGAGAGGGAATCTTGCTCTGTCGCCAAGGCTGGAGTGCAGCGGCACGATCTCAGCTCACTGCAAACTCCGCCTCCCAGGTTCACGCCATTCTCCTGCCTCAGCCTCCCGAGTAGCTGGGACTACAGGCACCCGCCACTATGCCTGGCTAATTTTTTTGTATTTTTAGTAGAGACAGGGTTTCACTGTGTTATCCAGGATGGTCTCGATCTCCTGACCTCGTGATCTATCTGACTCGGCCTCCCAAAGTGCTGGGATTACAGACGTGAGCCACCTCACCTGGCCAAAAACCACTATTTTTAAATAATTAATTTACCCATTATCTACTATGTGCAGATCCAAACATTCGTGAGACAGTCAGGGGCAGAGTCCAGGAACATGACTCTTTTCCCTTTCCATCTTCCTACTAATGGATACAGCTGGTAGAAATAGTAAGTGTAAAGTGCAAGGTCAATATTTAAATATTCTCTTTTTCCATACATTCTCTAAGAAAGGGAGTAATCAGTAGACTCAGCTCTCTTCAAAGAGAGGAAAGAGAATTTTGAGAGGCACTTAACTTTACAAATTGGTAAAGCATGAACTGGTGCCAATTCGTTCCATTTTAAACTTGGGAAAATCAAGGCTTTCGAAGGTGACTGAATCACTTCCCCATTTCTAAAGCAAGAGAAAGGAAGAACTAGAATTCAAATTGATAGCAGTCTCACTTCAGACAAAGTTCTTAGTCCCACCAAGTAAGAACTCATCTCTTACTACTACTCATCTCTCTTCTCGCATCTGCAATTGTTTAAGCAACAGCTTGGGTCAACATGGTTGAAATCAATTAAGTATCTTTTAGGATTTTATTATGCATACAGCCGGTTTAATTTCTAACTTCACTCCCACAATGCATGCATATATACTCAGAAAGGTTGAAGCAGTTTATAATAATTTATACTAATATACAGAGTCTCTTATCTGATCACTCAAAAATTTAAAAAGCATATCACTTACTTTTTAAGTCAGGAATAAAAGCAGCAAATACTCAAAAGGATATATGAAAAAGTAATCATGCTCACTTTTGACCTTAATAAAAAATTATTTTAACTCTAATTTTAAACAAAAGAATATAGAAAAAGTTGCCTCCTTCCTCTGGCTTCCTGACATCTGGCTTTCCTCCATTGTTTTCCAAGCTGCCAGTATCCTGAGTTATACACAGATTATTTACTGCAACACAAACTTACCCTGTGAAGCGTCACTGTATGTTGTTCCCATATAGCTGTTTCCTCCATTGCTGTGCTCTGATAAAGGAAAAGAAAAATAAATCATTTACCTTTTAAGAAAATGTCCTTAGTAAGGTGAGCAAGAACATCCAACAATTCAGCATATTGAAATACCAAAATTCACACTGTTAATATTAGAGATACCCTGAAAGGACCTTAATAATTATGGAAAGTTTTTTGTTTGCTTTTAAGAGACAGGAAACGACACACAGGAACTTCCTTTGTTTTTAACTTAATTTGGACAGCTGCTCTATATTCATTTCATGCAACCTGAAATCAGTATTCAAGCTAACTCTGCAACTTTGTACTTAATATTCGATAGAAAAGAGTAAAAACTGGAGCAGTATTATCTTAAAATATCTAATGGCATGTAAACATTTAAAAGCATCTCTTATGTTTTACAAAGGAAGAGAAATGCCTCTGAACACAGTAATTATAAATATACATGTTACAGGAAAACAGATAAAACCATTGCTAGGTTTGGCAAATGGCTGCTTTAAGGTCACAAACATGACTGCTCTACCTAGTTTCAGTTTTGCTACAGAATTACCTTCTCAAGCTTCACTTATAACCAAAAGAAAAAGAACAGCTTTTCTAGTGTATGTATCACACACGCAGACACACACAAGAAACAAAAACAAAAAAGAACAATCTCCCAAACTCCCCCAAGCATCATTATAAAATAAAAGCGATATGAGCTCCAATACAGGTCCCACCCAAATTATAGTGTACTTCAGTTTTACCTCTTGTCACGAGCCTCTCACTAGAGAGGAAAATAAATTATTATCTAAGGCAGGGGTGTCCAATCTTTTGGCTTCCCTAGGCCACACTGAAAGAAGAAGAATTGTCTTGGGCCACACATAAAATACACTAACACTAATGAAAGCTGATGAGCTTTTAAAAAAAAAAAAAAAAAAATCGCAAAAAAAACCCATCTCCTAATGTTTTAAGAAAATTTACGAATTTGTGTTGGGCCGCATGCGACCTGTGAACCACGGGTTGGACAAGCTTGATCTAAGGAATCAGCAGTAAAGAATTCAAAATAAATTTCTTTTAAATGGGGTTAACTGCTCTTGGAGACTTAAAATATTTCAGTCTCTCTTAACGTTACCATTTTACGAAATTGGGACTCCTAAAATGTATTTACAAGTAAATTTTAAAAAGATTCTTCAGAGTTATCAAAAGGTAAAGTAAAATGGGAGAAGGCTAAGCATGACACTCTCAGACCACTAGTCACACCATATAATGCCTATTTCATAAGTGAGGTCTGTCTTCTCTTACTGCTGTTATTAGCATCATGAGAATACGCCTATCAAGGTGCCATGGGCCCAATCTCTCCTTTCCCACAGCGACTTTAATTGAAGATGAATGCCATTTTAGAAAGTAAGTCCCTACAAAGAAAGCCTGCTTCCCTAAATTCAAAGCAACTAGATTAACTATCCTGCCAGATGAATGAGAGAGGAGAGAGAAAGGATCTCTCTGTTCACTCCCATAGAGAAGAACTGCCAACCTCACCAGCGTTTTGTTTCAATCTTCCAGTGCAGCAAAACCTCCCTTTAATGAGACCTCTACGGGAAACAAAGCTGTTTTTTTTGGTTTTGTTTTTTTTAAACAAACATTGACCGGGATAACACATTAAAAAAAAAATTCTTTCATCCATGAGAAGCAACAATAGTATGAGTAAATCAGCTAAACATCAACAGTCCCACTAACGTATACATGAGAAAAGTATCTGCAATAGTTGCCAGTTTGTCCAATCTCAGCTGATATTAAGAATGAGAACTGCCTGCATAGCTCTCAGCTCATCTTTTCTTGATCTATTTCATTAACCAGTGACATTGTTTTACTGCCTTTTTAATCTTTTTCCTATCAGTCCAAACCGCAAGTGATGTGATAACATGCACTTAACTCTCCTTGATAACACACTCTATGGTATGAAAGTTAATCATCCTCTCTAAGGTCTTAATGAATACAGTTTTCCATTTTGTAAGATGATGTTAATCAAATGGGAAAAATTATTTAACATAAAGGGGGGAGCAGGTTGTAAAACAGCGTGTACATGGTTATCCTAATTTTGTTTAAACATTAGTAGGGAATAAAGGCTGAAAGGATAAAATGTTAACACTGTTTATCATCTTCAAGGTAAAAGGACTGTGGGTGACATTTTTCTATCAGGTGTTTTATCTTCCTTTCTCCATTCCCCATCAGAACAAACTGGCAATGTATTTCAAACCATATTCACCAAATCTCATTCCTATTCGACATTTCAAATACAGACAGTCCTGACTTAGGATGGGTCAGCTTGATTTTCTGACTTGACGATGGTACCCATACAACCATTGCTTTTCATTTCCACTACAGTATTCAAGAAATTATATGAGATATTCAACACTTTACTGTAAAGTAAGCTTTTGTGTTAGATAACTTTGCACAACTATACGCTAATGTAAGCGTTCTGAGCATGGTTAAGGTAGGCTGGGCTAAGCTTATGATATTGGGTACGTTGGGTGTATTAAATGCATTTTTGACTTAAAATACTTTCAACTTATGATGAGTTTAATCAGGACATTGTTCTAAGTGAGTTGAGAAGCATCTGTATCTGTTTTTCACTTGGCTTTTAGGAAAATCAAATAATGTTTAAGAGGATTAACATTCTTATTGTTAATTATAAAAAATGTTTATTCTCCTGTTAGCAATCTATACATTAAGGTCTTATTTATTTATTTATTTTTGAGACGGAGTCTCGCTCTGTCGCCCAGGCTGGAGGGCAGTGGCTCACTGCAAGCTCCGCCTCCCAGGTTCACGCCATTCTCCTGCCTCAGCCTCTTGAGTAGCTGGGACTACAGGCGCCCGCCACTATGCCTGGCTAATCTTTTTGTATTTTTAGTAGAGATGGGGTTTCACCGTGTTAGCCAGGATGGTCTCCATCTCCTGACCTCGTGATCTGCCTGCCTCTGCCTCCCAAAGTGCTGGGATTACAGGCGTGAGCCACCACTCCTGGCACATTAAGGTCTTAATGTACAGTCTCCAGAAACTTACTTTGTCCAAGGGAGAAGACTAAAATACTAAAACATAATTGTCCTCACCATTCCATATCAAAATCAATATAGTTTTTCTTTGGAGGACTGGAAAAGTACACATCTCAACAAACTTCTCTGTTAAACATCAAATATAGCTTGATTTACCTGAAGGAAGACCTATGTAGAAGTAATTGAGAATGAAACATCAAAAGAAGTGGTTAGGCTCTTGACCAGCCACTAAACCAACTTAATCCGTAATATAAGTGAGTTACTATGTTTTACCACTCCTTATCTTTTTTAAAAAACAACAGAAAAATATATTCCCAGTTTAAATCATGGACCATGTCATTTCTCTCCATTCTCTAGCCTTTCATTTGCTTCTGTGGCAAAAGCAGCAAATTCTATCCATGGTTGTCTCTATAACCAGACAGTCCTGATGAGGAGTTCTGAATGAACTGAGGAATGGACAGATGCACAAACACATAAATATGTAATAATGCAAATACAGTAAAATGATAATGGTAGAACCTTAGTGGTTGGGATTCAGGTATCCATGGTAGACTTCTTTCAATCTTGCTATGTGTTTGAAAGTGACCATAATAAAATGCTGGGGAAAAACTAAGAAATCCTTCTAGTAAATCACTCAGAAATCAAAGCTAAAATTGATAAAAGACATTTTTAGTACCAGTAAATTTATTAACCACTATTTTCATGAGCATTCCATAAAGAAAAAATGTTCACTAATGACTGAGAATTTTAATTCTTCAGAAAAGCAAGGGGTGGGGAGGTTCCTTTGGAAGAATACCTAAGAAACGCATGGCTTCTGGGGTGGAGAAAGGAAAACCAGGTGGGAGGAGTATCACTTTTCACTGGGAGCCCTTTGCACTTTTTCACTGGAAGCCCTTTGCACTTTTAATCACATTCATCTATTACTTATAAAATATTTTTAAAACTTAATATCCTTATCGTAAACTTGCTTGTCATTTTCTCATTTCAAAAATACACAAGAGATAGATAATTGCGTAACTTGCACAAAAAGCTTCCGGTAAATTACCAGTCTCAGGCTCAAGACATTTAGGCTTGCAGGAGATCAAGGGGAAAAATGTATTATTCCTCTAAGCATGATTCTAGCACTGCCATTCCCTAATAACTCAGACAGATGTTGGTAAACAGGAAATGAACTAGACCAAGCATAAGGAGACCAGAGCCCAAAGGTATCATCAACTAGAAACATGATCTTAATTTTTCTCACCTATACAATTAGGGAAATGGGTGAAATTATCGCAAATGAACAGACTTTTCTAGCTCCAAAATTCTATTAGACTGTAATTCCAATGAACAGGCTACAAATTCAATAATTAGTGAAGTACTGCAGGCATCAAAAGTGACTGCAATTCATGGTTGCTGGATTCTGAGTTCTGTGCACATTTCTAAGTATCAACTGACTAGAATCACAATTTCTGAAGAAGCAAAAAGCTGTATTTCAGAATCTGCCAAGAGTTTGTTTAGTTTCTTTGTTCTAAGCTCCAGCTGGCAAAGACACTACTCAGATCACCAACTCTGAAGGGCTTCCTGCCAAAACTTCAGATCCTAGTTCTAGGCAGTTTCACTGTCCTTTAGGACTGATTACTGAATGGGGAAAGACAGGAGGGCACAAGAACTGACAAGACAGGATGAGCCTATAACTGGAAGAACAAATCCAAAAGAAGATACAAAGTATACTCCAAATGAAGAACTCAACATTATCTAAATACACAGCCAGTTAAATTTTACTATCCATACGGCTGTAATTTCAAAAACAATCCATGTATCATTCATTCATTCATTCAACAAACATGTATCAGATACAGTAAGTGTTGGGGAGGCCAAAAATAGATCCCTCTTCCTGCCTAGGGGCTCAAAGCAGCAGCTGAGAACACTAAATAAATGGTATTTAAGTTGGTGCAAAAATAATTGCAGCTTTTGCCATTAAAATAGCATCAAAAGATAAGAGCTTTT